ACTACCAAGCCAGTCGCATTATCACTACTCCAGAAGCAGCACATCGCATTCATTAATATTGTCTGACATCTGTCCTAAAATATCAGAAAAGTGAAAGAAGAAGTTATCAACTATTTGAAGTACCAAATCCAACAACTGCAACTAGGTAAACTTATACTAATAATACTACTCATATATACTCGATATATTACGATTACGAAAACTATTATGATCGATTTTAAGACGAAGATTTGTAAGGGTTTAGCTGGACGTAGAAAGTTGACCGACCAAGAACAGTTGGCCTCTGAACAGCGACGTAAAGAAGTAAAATATCAGATAGAGACAGCGGGGTTAGTTTAGTGTTACTTAAGATTTTAAAACACAACCAACCCCCCCGTAGGGGTGGGGTTGGTCAAGTGTTTTAACCCTCCATTCGGGGGGGAGGGTTAGTTTAGTTTAGTTGGTTGCGTTTTACAAACTTGACCAATCCCCCCGAGGAGCTCCGAAAGGAGCGATCTGCTCTAGTTCGGCAAAAATGTGTTACGAAAAATGGAAACGAAAAAGTGTAACTTCATTGTTATGTTACCTAGGAAACCTTATCTGTTTACTCAGCATTGTTGTTACTTAGGAAACGTCATCTGTTTACTCGGCACTTTTGTTACCAAGGAAACGTCATCTATTTACTCGGCATTGTTGTTACCTATAAAACATTTCATTACATTACCTTACCTTACATTACCTTACCTTACCTTACATCACATTTCATTACCTTACCTTATCTTACATTACATTACTTTACATTACATTTAGCTACCATAGACCGCTTTTAAGCGTAACTAATTGAAGTTGAATAATCAATGTCTTAATCAAACTTACCTCAATTGTAAAGCATGTATAAAGGAAATATTTAGAATAAAGCCAATATATAAACTTCCTTTCCGTATAAACGTATTTACGTCAAATTCTCCGGAACCGTGGTTCCACTATCACTTTTCTTACATTGTTATACACGCAGGTGTTCACGTAAAAGCTTACCATGGTCGGTCGATATTTATATATTGTTGGTAGTTGAAAAAATACAAAGGGAATTACTCTAATTTGGTCACATTCCATCCTAAATGTAAAAAATAAATACTTAATAATAAATGCTTGCTCTATAAGAATAAAATAAATTTTAAAATAATGAGAAGAGGCACGAAGATAAAATTGCAATTTCATTTGTCCTTCTTTAAAAATAACGTCGTGTTCTATTATACTTCATTGATTTTAAATATGATGTTTTAAGGTTAGAAGACTAATCAAAAACCTGTACATGCAGCAAAAAGTCAAAGTGAGACTGGACTCAGGAGACACCAACAGCGTTGAGATAGGTAGAGGAGTAAGACAGGGATGCTGCTTATCACCAATTCTTTTTAACCTGTACGGGGAATGGCTTCCCAAGGAAGCTCTGGAGGGAACAGGAGACTTCAAAATTGGAGGAAGAGTGATAAAGACTGTAAAGTATGCAGACGACTTAGTAGTATTGGCGAAGGAAGAGGAGGAATTACAGAACATGATGGATTTGATATATTCCATTTCTCATGTCACTTTCCTCAGACTTGATAAGTAAATGCTGGATATCTTCTCGAATACTTCTCTTTCAGTTTGTCTATATACGGTATGAATGAGCCGGGATAGCTCAGTCAGTATAGTGACTAGCTACGGCCTGGACGACCGGGGTTCGATCCCCGACGGGGGCAGAGGATTTTTCCTCTAGCCTCTGCGTCCAGACCGGCTCTGGGGCCCACCCAG